ATTACAGTCCTCTCTCATCTTTTTAAGTGGGAGAACTTGCACAATTGGTGGCTGACTAAATACTTTTTTGCCCCACTCTATATATTGTCCTCAGCTTCTTATACATTGTGTACCAAAAGTCAAGTCCCATAGGCCAAACACAGTATGTTTTATTATTTTTTTTCCAGAGAAGATGTTACTGTACTTAGGAACGTTCAAAAATCATGCATCAAACAAGTAAGGAAGTGTTTAGAAGAAAATGACAAGCAATTTGAACATTTTATGTAATTTATGTAATAAATTGTCTATCGGGTCTAACTTTAAGTAAACCTTGTATATTGTTTCAGAAGATATAGGTCATTAAAAATACTTTTTGAATACAGCAAATTTGGCAAAAGAACAGCCTGTCACAGTTCGTTTCTTCAAGTGTAGCTAACCTTTATTTCTGCGGGTGCCATCCATATTAGCAAATTCTATATGGTTTTCATCAGCCCAGTATAGTCTTCTGTTAACATAGTCTATTGTAAGAGCCATAGGTCTAGATATCTGTGTTTCTATCACAACTGTCTGATTAGAGCCATCCATGCCAACTCGACCAATATGAGGATACTCACAGCAATCAATCCAATATAAATACCTAGGAAACAAAATTGATAAACATGGTGTTAGTGTACAAAATAATCATACTAATACTACAACTGGAAATTTATAACTACAAAATTGCATGTAGCATTTATTTTTAAGTATCACATTGTTCACTATGGATAAGTTAAGTTGATAGCTGCTAATTTGGAACTCACAGATTCTATTTTCTCTCACACGAGTTGATAATGCACATAATGTTGGTCAAAACCTTATGATCAGTTATGTTTCTTTTAATGAATTCACATCATACATTCACCTATAGAGCAAGAGACAATGATCTTACACTGGCAAAAAAAAAGTATACAAAGGACTGAATTCTTTTAAATTTTCTACTCTTTCCTATATCTTTTTTCATAATAGTTCATTACTCCAAAATCTTTGTGGAAATTAATTTACAACATTCAGCACTGCATGGACAAAATACATGGAGCTAAAGAGTGGTATATGACCTGTAATCCATAAGCCAATGTATCCCTTATTCCTCACTTTGCAGTGACCAAAACTTTCTCAAATAATACTGCCCAAACCATATTCTTCAGCAGCTCGAAGCAGTCATGCTTTGCCCTTTAAGTGTTGAAAATAAGTGTATGCTAAATTTCCACAACCCTTGTAGCATCTATTTTTAACCTTTAATCTCTTCCTACCCAACAAAATAAGGGGGAAAAAAATGGCTACACACTTTCAGTGCATTCTGTGACATTGAAAATATCCCTGCATTCTTTGGGGGCTAGCCTAGGTTTAAGGGAAAGGAAGGTGTGGGCAGCAATAGAAAGTTCAATATAATTCTCCCACATATTTCTTTTACTGTTAATATATGACGCCTCTAACCTCTACATAAATGGGGTACCAGTGACTTTTGAAAATAATTTTGCAGCAGTTCAGCAATAAGATGTCTGACTGACTGATTAGATGCCATCAAGTCTCAACTCTTATTGACCACATAGATAGATTTTCTCCATGATTATCTGCCCTAACTTGGTCTTTCAGCTCTTCCAACATTGCACCCATCGCTACTGTAACTGAGTCTATCCACCTTGCTGCTGGTCATCCACATCTTCTCTTTCCTTCCACCTTTCCCAGCATTAGAGCCTTTTCCAGAGAACTAGGTCTTTGCATAATGTATCCAAAGTAGGATAATTTAAGCCTGGTCATCTGTGCCTTGGGTGAGAACTCAGAGTTGATTTGTTCAATGATCCATTTGTTTTCTTGGCTGTCCATGATAATCTCAGGAGTCTTTTCTAATGCCAAAGTTCAAAAGCGTCAATACTCTTCCTATCCTGCTTCATCAAAGTCCAACTTTCACTTCCATAGAGTATCACAGGGAATACCATGGCTTGCACAATTCTGATCACTGTACATACAGACATGGCATTTAAATATCTCTTCCAAGGCCTTCATGGCTGCTCTACTGAGTGCTAGTCTGTCGTGTATTCCTTGACTGCTTGTTCCTTAACTGTTGATGGTTGATCCTAAAAGGCAGAGGCTATCCACAACGTTGATACCTTTATTGTCAATTCTAAGGCTGGTTGTTCTACCATTGTCATTAGTTTTCCTTCTTCATATTTAATTTTAGTCCCGTTTTTTCACTGTGCTTTCTGATTTTTATTACTAGGGCTTGAGGATCCTTTCCATCTTCAGCTATCAGGGTACTGCCATCAGCATAGCACAGGTTATTGATATTTCTCCCTACAGTTTTAAAACCATGTTCATCTTCTTCCAATCCAGCTTCCCTTAAGATATACTGTATTCAGCACATAGGTTGAATAAATAAGGGGAGAGGATACAGTCTTGTTGCACTCCTTACCAACCTGGAGCCAGTCTGTTTCGCCATGTTCTGTCTGTACTGTGGCTTCCTGACCTGTATATAAGTTTCTCATGAAAACAATGAGATGTTCTGGGATTCCCATTTTTCTGAACACTTTACACAGCTTGATGTAATCGACACAATCAAAGGGCTTTCTAAAATTAAAGAAGCACACAGAGACTTCTTTTTGATATTCTTTGGCTTTCTCAATTATCCAGCATCAGCAATAATGTCTAGTGTTCCTCGGTCTTTTCTGAACCCCTCTTGAACATCTGGCATCTCTTTTTCCATGCAGGGCTCTAATCTGCTTTGGATGATCCTAAGCATTATATTGCTAGCATGTGAAATTAAGGATATTGCACGATGGTTTGCACATTCTGCTAAGTTTCCATTTTTTTAGTATTAGAATGTAGTTTGACCTCTTCAATCTGTTGGCCACCGTGTTGTTCTCCAGATACAGGTGAAACTCGAAAATTAGAATATCGTGCAAATGTTCATTTATCTCAGTATGGCAACTCAAAAGGTGAAACCAATATATGAGATAGATGCATTACATGCAAAGCGAGATATGTCAAGCCTTACTTTTGTTCATTTATCTCAGTATGGCAACTCAAAAGGTGAAACCAATATATGAGATAGCTGCATTACATGCAAAGCGAGATATGTCAAGCCTTACTTTGGTATAATTGTGATGATTATGGTGTACAGCTCATGAAAACCCCAAATTCACAATCTCAGAAAATTAGAATATTACATGACATCAATAACACAAGGATTGGAAATAGAACAATATTGGACCTCTGCAAAGTATAAGCATGCTTATGTACTCAGTACTTAGTCTGGGCCCCTTTTGCAGCAATGACTGCCGCAATGCGGCGTGGCATGGATGCTATCAGCCTGTGGCACTGCTGAGGTGTTATG